CAAGCAATGGGGGGGACAGACGTGCTGATATTCATTCATGCAATTATGCATAAATAGGTTCTAAAGTCCTACTTAGCTATGCCTGAGAACGTTAGGTACAGCCTTGAGCCTCCCAACTGGCTTCCTGGGAAATCTTATTAAAAAGCAAATTCTTCAGTCTAGCATGTGAATGAACATTCCAGTCGTAAACAACAGAATCAAGAAAGAATCAAGAAAGTATTTGATGTTTTTGACCAGCCAGAAAGCGAGGCCCCTTTCTGGTTTTGGTCACATTAGGCTGTGCTGAGAATATTGGCATGATGGTCTAAGGGATCAGTGATAGAGCGTTTTTCTGTTCTTTATTGAAACAGGCACCTTCCCAGAAGAGTAACAATCCCAAGTCTGCAGTTCTGGTGAAATGCTGTCTAAGACGGGCTGGAAAAGAAGGTACATGATAGAAACTAGAGGTTTGAAGAGTATAGTAGAGCAGTAATACATACAAACAATAGAGGATACAACAGGAACTCAAAGTCTTTTTTCATTAGCTATGGCCTACAATGAAAAAAATGGGTTTTTGTGGTTTGGGGTTGTCCTGGGTTTTTTTTGTTTGTGGGTTTTTGTTGGGGTTTTTTTGTTTTTTTTTTTTTTTTTAGAGTTGTGCCATATGTTGCATTTTAATCATGGTTGAAGAGGGAGAGAAATAGAACAGCTGAACACAAAACAAAACCACTTCCTAGCATAGAGTGCCCCTCCTTACTGTCTTGAAGTAGGGAAATAAACTGCACAGGCTTCACAAGGCTGCAAAGAAGTGCCACTTTGTGAAATTACTTTTGTTTTCCCTCCCCCCCCCCCAAAAAAAAAAAAAAGTGGTGGGTACATAGGAAACTTGTGCATGTAAATACAGCCACTGCTGGGCTGGTTAAAGACAGCTGCTGTGCACATGTGCAGCCACGGTATTGCCTGGTATCTAGCAACTGCATGGCTTCCTAGTCTGCGCAGCATTATGTTCCCAAGAGCTACACAACAAGCCTTTAAGGCAAGTGATATTCTGGTCTTTGGTTCAGGTGTAACCTCCAAAAGATGGTGCCTTGTCCTGCGCAGTCTACTTGGGTGCCGCTGTGACGAGAGGTGGACTCACTACTTACTGCAGCTCCACAGCCACGGCTGGCAGAGCTTTGGTGAGGGGTGATTGCAGTAGTGTTTTATTAGCTCTCTGAAAATAGATAGCAGGGAGGAGGCTGTGCAGGCGCCCGTACCATCTGTCTGAGCTCTGACCCTGCGGGCAGGAGGCGAGCTTGCTTTTACAGCCAGCACTTAACCTTGCTGCTGAGACTTGTCAACAAGGAGGCCAATTAGCAGCAGCTATGATGGTGAGCGATATAATGCAGATATCTGTTTGTTAGGTGCATATGTGATTTTTTTTTTTTTTTTAACACAACATGTATTTTAAAACATGGCTCTGCATAAATGATGCCATCCCCTGCCAACAAAAACAAAAAAAAAATTTAAAAGCAGCCTCTCTACAGGGAAGTGGTATAGAAAAATTTTAGAAGTGTTTCCCCCCCCCATGTCTGTCTCTTAAGCCTTGTTCTGCTGGGCTCACAATGACTAGAGCAGGTGGTGGATTCTAAGCAATAATTCTGCTTGGACAAAAAGTCCACTTTAAGTTTTTATTTTGTATTCACATATGTGGCATACTAAAAATATATGTAAATGCACAATGAAAACAGGGCAGTTCTTGTTGCAGGATACTTCAGTCCTCTGCTCAGCCCCCTCCTTGAGAAATGGAGATCCTGTGAAATAGTGGAGAGTCCCAACTGTGTCCCGCTCCTCTGCCAGACACGCAGCTCTTCTCTGCTTGTTTTAACTGAACATTTCAACCCACATCCTTAATCCCTTTCTCTATTAGAAGGTTATAATAATTAACAACAGAACTGTAAGGATTTACACAAGCAGAGGTGTGTTTAAGATATAATAATCATAAGTTGGTAGATCAATCAGTGAAATACCTTTCAGAATGATAACAGGGACTCTGCATGATCGTCTTTCAATTACTAGGATAAGTATTCATGTCTAGCACAAAACACTCGACCTGGAGTATGACTGACTTGATAGTTTGTATTACAGATGTAGTGCAAGAGGAAAGACCAGCTCTTCTTGAACGTGACTTTGACCACTGTAATGTCTCAGCTGGAGATGGCTTGCCTTCACTGAACTTAGCAGCAGCAAAAGGAGGTGCAGGAGATTGAACACAGAAGCTGGTACCAGCAGCATGTACTCAGCAAGTGTCAAAATTATTAGCCACAGCACAGCTGAAATAAATGGAGCAATTGTTCACTTGACTGGACCTTTGTATTTATGCAGTGTTGGGGGGGAAGGAAGACATTGGTATTGAATGTTATAAGGGGGTCACAGAAGGAAGAACAGAAGAAAAAGAAGAGTGCTGAATGGTAGAGAAGGACGGAAGGACAGATGGATGGACGGATGGACGGACGGACGGAAGGAAACCTCCTGACCCGATTTATTTCTTTCTAATTCTCCATTTACCCTTTCCCCCTAACCCCTAATCGACTACATCAGGGCTATGGTCAAACAAGAGAGGAAGGAAATCGAGAATATAGCCAATGTTTTTTATTACAGTATATTGTACTTCCAAACTGGATACACTAGAAATTGGCAATGCAACATAAGATGCAAAGGAATATACCAGTTACTGTCAAAATGACCCTGTACAGCCTTAGAATGCAAAAAGCTTTATACAATACAAATTTCATGTAATGTACACAAACCTTGACAGAATGATATTTGAACATATTACAAGTAAAAAAAAAAAAGAAGAAAGCAAAAAGTGCTAAGAACTTTAACTGAATTACCGACTGGAGAAACACGCTAGCTTTCACTACAGAATGCATACTGAAAACCAGTGTGAAATTACCTTTATGGTGGGGGGGGAATTTATCAGAACTGTTGGTCATTACTCAGCAGCGGGTACCTCTGGAGAACATTCCTTTCTTTAGCCTTAAACCACAAACCAGTTATTGTCATAGGCATAACCAATTATTTTAATATGCACGAGCTCTGCTAAATACTGTATTATTTTTTTTCTTAAAAAAATAAAAACCTCCAAACACCCTTTTCCTTACAGAGAAAATTTCTATAACTTGCCAGAAAGAATTAATTTATCCTTTCCAAAGTGCTAAACAACTTTCCCAGGTACATTACAGATTACTATGTCAGACATTGGTACAGCGCAATATTTGCATGCTGACAGCTCATTCTTGGAAGTTCCAGCCCTATTTAAACTGCAGCTTGGTTTACAGAAACTGTCCTACTAGTATTCTTACTTCCTCCTCCTAGACAGCTCCACTTTACCTGTTGGTTTGAAAAACAAGCTTTTTGATTCAGAAGTGTTTGCTCATGGATGGTGGGGTGAGAAACATATGCACGGAGTGTATTTCAAGGAACTCGTATAGTTTCTGGATGCAGATTGCATATTCCATGTTGTTGAGATACTCAGCTGTGTTGAGTACAGATTTTTTTTTTTTTTAAGCTTTGAGTTTTTACTTAGCATTTTCTACTTTGTCTCTACTCTCGGGGGGGGGCATCAGGGGGTGACTAAGAGTTCTGGTGGAGTAAAGCATGGCAGACAGGGCCCTGAGTTACGTAGGTTGGTTACAAAGGTTTGTACACGCTTTGGAACAGATGGCTTTTCTTCACTGCGTAGAGAGAGAGAGACACAACTGCCACATGCTCATTAGAACCAAAACTAACTGTGGAATGTCAACAAAATGGTGGGACTGCTCTGTCCTTTAATTAATAATTCCAAATGATAACCTGCTACTATTTTGACGTTTCCTCTTTGTAAATACATTCCAGTACGTGAACAGGAGTGCACAGATTAGGATGTCCTCCCTCAACAGGAAGAGTTTGGTCATGACAGCAGAGAATGTTTGGCCGTCTCAGTGCAAAACAAAGGTAGGAGTCTTGCAAACCGGTTAAATTACACAAGTTTTGCATCAAAAAACTATTTCTACACAAGCTTAATTTAAAAAACTAATGAATATTGACATTATGTTTCTAATTGTACATATGGCTAAGAGCCCTTGGGGAACAGAAATGCCTTCCTCAACTGGGGCGTTGTTTGAGTGCTGGCCTGACCAAGGGGCTGGCTCCAACTGCCACGCTGGATCCCACCCCATCCCACAGCAACCTGCGCAAGCTGCTCCTTCAGGACAGCATGAGGGTGGGTGGGCAGCACGGTGGGTGTGACTCAGGGCACCTCCTACGGTGGCTTGGCCAAGGGACAGGGAGGGGACTCTGACAAAAGCTCAGTCAGACATCTCTAACACTTGGTGAAAGACAGCTAGAGCCAAATCCAAGAGCCACCATGGAAAACAATAATCCAGTAAGAAAGCATTCCTGTCAGTCACATGATAACATTGAAATGTTTCATATTTTATACTTCCCATTTTATTGCACACTATTTTTAATCCTGATCTTCCTTCCTGGATATTAAGTTGTCTAAGAAACACGATTAACAGTCAGTTCCCTTCTCTTCTTTAAGATCACTCTTGGCATTTTGAGATTAGCAAAGGTTATACAACCAATCCACGTTTGCTTCTTCCTGCAATAAAGTGCTACATAAAACACGTCATTTTAATGACCATATTGAGGAGCATTACATAAGTATAAAGTTAGCTTCCTAGCGCTGTACACTCTATCCGCCATTAACAAAAAGGAATAAAGTATTACTAATAACATGGAGGGTAGCAATAGGACTGTAGAATTTGCAAGTACAGTTGAAATATCGAGGGTATAAAAGAGAACTGTATGGTTCAAACAGCATCTTTTTATAGCTTTATATTTCAAAGAAGTTACTGGTACCTTTTCAAATATACAGTCGTCTTACCTTCAGCCCACAGAAATTTTTTTCTTTTTTTTTTTTTTTTTTTGCAAGTGAGAAACAAACTAGTGCAAAACTAAAGCACTGTGCAAAACTGCCTTTTTTTTTTTTTAGTCTGAGTATTTATAGCCAGAATTTATCCATACCCTTTTTTAAATCCCCTTGTTGGATTTTTTTCCACCATAGAATTCTAGTTATACAAGTTGTTCCTGCAAACTAAAAGGTAACCACTGCATAATACAGTATATATATAGATATATATAAAATATTTATATGCCCTTTTAAAAAAAAGATGTATGCTATGGCCCAGACGCAGGTGTCTGTTACACCTACCTGTCTAACAGTTAAGTTTGGGCCTGCTGCACATGCATGTGTGTGCACGTACACACGCTTTGCGTTGCCATACTCTCGTCCTGCAGTGCTGAAAGCAACTTTTTCCTCATTAGTTCTACCCCAAATTCTCAAACCTTGACAACTGAGTACAAGGCATCGAACAAGTAAAGGAAGCTGCCAACAGCACTGAAGTAATACACCGATCCACCCTGAACCAAGCGTTATCCTTCTGCAACTGTGCAGTTCAGGGGGAGAGGGAGGGGAGGGAGGAAGGGAGGAAGTGTATGAAAAGGGAAAAAGAATAATAATTAAATAAGCCAATACAAGGGATGTGCAAAAGCAATGTCATGGCACGCTACAGGCAGGCTCTCTTTCACGCGCCCGCATGTACACAAAGACTAAAAAAATAAAATGCATCAGTATGTAATCTTACAAGTGCTGATTGCCATTAAGGACACTCTTTTTCAGCTTAACAAGACAAAATAGCTTCTTAGATAAGAGTACTGGGAACATGCTTCTGAAGGTAGAAGTATGCAGTAGGTCACCTCTTGAAGATTTAATAAAGCAGCTTTCATGTCAATGCAGTAAGTATACACACAGAGCCATTTTCTAAACCTTACTAATGATATAGTACAAGTGTTCGTTACCTCTTCAGTCTACGTGTTGCAGCAATGTATACCTGCTGGGTTCGTTGAGGGATTTATTTTTGGTACAGAAGGTGACTGCCCTCAGACAGTTTCTGCCCTTTCTGTTAGTCCAAGGTAGGCAAGGAAGGAGTGCTTGGGTGAAGAGGCCCCTGCCGGTGCAGTCTGAGGTCTTGGGGGATGGAATGTGAGATCGTAGTGGTTTTTGGGGAAAAACATTGTTAAAGGAATAAGGTGGGCAAACTCTGAGTTCCAGTATTTATCAAAGCACAGGGAAGTGCCGTTGATGGCCAAGGCTTTCACTGCCAAGTTTGGCTCTGCCCCGCTGCCGTGCGCAGCTGACAGAGCCACTGTTTGCAGAGCATGGGAGGCAGACATAACTGAGAGGGGGGACAGGAGGCTTCTGGAGCTGTTCACTGGTAGGAGCAGACTGCCTGCCTTGGAGGTTGAATACTGGCCCTTCTTCTCCTCTTCGGAGCAGTCCCCGTTCTGGTGCTTCTTCACGTGGCGGCTGAAGACAAAAGGGTGGGTAGTCTTGAACAGGCACTCGTCGCAGCTGAAAGTCTGGCGTGGAGCATGCTTCAGTTTCTTGTGCAAGTTGAGATTGTCTTTGCGTTTGCAGCTGTAGCTGCACTGGTCACAGTGAAAAGGGCGCTCCCCGGTGTGGACACGCACATGTTCGATCAGCTTGTTGGCCGTCTTGGACAGGTAGCCACACTGGTCGCACTTGTAATGGTTGCCGAGGCGGTGTTCTCGGATGTGCATCTCCAGCTCCAGCTGGTTTGCCTTCACTGTCTGGCAGATCCGACACTTGTACTCCATCTTGTAGTGCGTCTTCAGGTGGCACTCCATCGCTGCGGGGCGGTTGGTGGAGTAGATACAGAATGGGCACCTGGCAACACAGCGAGGAAGGGCAGGGACAGAGAAAAAAAAAACACTCAGCTTGAAGGTCCTGGTTTAACCCTGTCATTCAGCCCCTCTCTGACTTACTACAGAGGAGAAAAAGGCACTTAGTTCTCTCTGTAAAGCCTCTTTAAAACATTTGGTTCACCTCACCATGTCTCCGCTTAGAGGAGGTTTGCCCATTTAACAGCAGTTAGCACTCACACTCTCCTAGGAAAACACCGATTCCCTCTGAAGGAGCATCTGTTTAATCTTCGGGCTTACCTTGCTGGGGAAGATTCTGCCACGCAGGCCGGGCAGTGCAGAGGGGGGACTGATTCACCGGCACTTTGTGTAACGACATTCCTAGCGTTTGCACGAAGTCACTTTTGCCATTTTTTCCATTAAGAAGTGGTTAAAGTGAGTGTTTACAGATGAGTATGAAAGCAGCTGTTTAAGTAAAGATGGAATAAACTTGTAATACCACATGTACAGCAAAAGCTTAGGAAATTCCTTTTACGTGACCTTGAACAATACGCTTGCTGGGTATCCTGCTAGGAGCAGCTGAAAGCCAGTCAGTTGGGACGATTTGCCGGGATTCCCTTTTCTGGGAGATGAGTTAGCCATGCTCAAAGGGGGCGTGTGTTCGGCCCCCCCCCCCTGCCACAACAGGCATTGTTCCCGTGTGGGAACAGGATGTGGGCTCTGCTTACTCACAGCAGCCAGCGTCCAGACCGGGGTGGACATGGCAAAGGGCCTCACCCACAGTTCCTGGACCAGGAAGGGCCAAGAAGGCTGCAGGAGGGAATCCTGAAAGCTTGGAAGGAAGCCTGAGCTGAACAAGCCCAGACACCAACAAACCCACAAGACACCCGCTTTGCTCTATGCAGCTGCAAGGAATTTGGTGAGGATAGCTACCTGCCGGGTTCTCTGCTCTATCAGACAAGGCATGCTCCCTTCCAGAGCTAGCTGGGGAGCTGAAACAGCAGGTCGAGATAAAAACATACACCTAAGGCACCTGGCTACCATCTCACAGACATCTCCGCCTCCTGCCGATCTGTGTTCACCATCTAGCAGGTCTGGAATTGGGCTCTGTCATTTCAGATAATTTCTAAGCCGAGACCCTCTCCCTCCATGTGTGTTTTCCCTTGCTGCACCTGGCTGCACATACAGGTTTAATATTAATCTACCTGTTAATCAGGAGACTTTTGAGCACAGTGAGTAAAACAGGAGGACAAACAGGCACTAAAACATCCAGACACTTTTCCTGATGCACGTCAAGTACTCTGATCCAGAGAGGGAGCCTGGCATTGAGGCCGCTAATGTGATTAGCTCTACTGCAACAGAGAACTTGGCTGGCTGTGCACACATACCTCTCCTGGGCTGGGTGCTCTCTGGATCAGAATTTCAGATTTTGACCTGGAGCTGGAGGAATCATGTTTTTTTCTCTTCCCCCACAGCAAACAGGAGACAGAAAAATACAATTTACTTAGATCGCTTCAGGCGATGCCTTAAAAAAAAAAAATCACAACTTTTTCTGAGGTGCAGCTTTCAAGGTATCTAATTATTACTTGATATGTTGGGCAGGAATAACTTCTGTAGACTGAGAAGCCCATTCTGTCAGTAAGGTCTGAGTCATAGGCCATGGTTTTTCCTTGGTAAACAGAACAGACTCTGTGCAGAGAGACCAGATGCTGCCTGGCAAACAGAACCAGTTTCCAAAAACTGCAGTGCAAGCTGCTAGAGGTACTCGTGGTAATATTAAGCGTGGTGTGCTCCTCACGTGACAGTTACAGTGCACTGAAAACAGGAGCTTGCTTAGCAAGAGCACCAGGAGCTGGGAGTCCTGTGCTGGGCTTGGAGCGGTTCCAGCCTCTTTTCCTGCAGCAGCTGGAACACAGACCAGGGATGTGCATCCTACGTCACACTGAGAGCAAGCATACAGCCCCAGCAGCCGCTCCTTCTCTCAGGGGTCCAGCTGGGGGATAAGAGCACCCTCCTCTAGACACACTGCTCTGCGCCAGCAGACCTTAAAGGACACCGCCAAAGCCACAGGGCTTTCTTCTTAAAAGAGCATATTACTCGTTCCATGTTAATTTATACAATAGTGAGTGTGCCGGGCCTTGCAAACCAAAGCTGAAAGCATAAAAGTTACTAATTCTCAAAGAGGACTTTGCATTAGTCTACAAAAGTTATAACCTTTAAGGCTGTAACTTCATACCCAGCTGCACAGACTGCACAGGGGTTAGTTGAGCCAGGTGCAGAACAGAGTGCGTGGTGTGTGCTCTCTTTTGCTCTGATGCCTTCAAAAAAGCCCCTCTTTCTTTGCCAACACTTGGGTGTAGTGCCGCCTCATTCTCTGTAGGACCCATCACAAACTGTCTCCTGTTTGACTTGGAAAGGACCGCACTTTGCTACAGCTTTGAGACCAGTGGATACCTCACCTGCTGCTAGGTTACCCATCTGCTATAACGATGCACGCATACGCTAGGGCAACTGTAAAGGACCAGGCTGGGCCTATCTAAATAGAAGCAAGCCCCAAATCTGGGTTATCAGACATTTAACTAACCCTTTCTAACTGACTTCCTTTTGTTCTATCCCCACAGTATTAGAGATGCTTAACACAGTAAAAGTTTGTGTACTTGCTTTCCTTACTTGAGCCCACCGGTGGGGACAGTGTGGCATTTCTTGTGCTCCAGTAACTGCTCAGGTGTCTTCATGAACTTGTGGCACACATCACACTCGAACATCCGCGTGATCAGGTGGATTTGCAGATGGCGCTCAAACATATTTTTTGTTTTACAGACGAAGTTACAGAAAACACATTCAAAGCCTGAAAAATAAGAAAAGAAAAAAAAACACCAAACAGGAAAATATATTCCTTACATTGCGGCCAGCTCCACGGCATAGAAGGTGGCAGTTTGTATTTGTTTAACAGTATTTTACCTTTCTCTGACTTCTCTTCAGTGCTCACTGAGGTCTGACTACCAGGCACTACAGAAATGACTAGCAAGTTGTTTGAACCCTTGTTTTTTGGGGTTATATCTGCATCTTCTTTGCTGTTGGCAGAGTCACTCAGTGCTGACAGTGAAGATGAAGATGGACTGTTAGATTCACTGGGTGTCTTCCTTTCCTCAGCTGAAAAACAGGAATAAAGAGCAATAACTACTACAGCAGATTGGACAGGAGCTCAATGATCCTGTTTTAAATTTCAGGGAAAATATTTAAAGTTAATTCAAACATGCTTATAAACAAGTCTGAAATTGATCTGTTAAGAAACCATAGTTGCACCTCCTTCCTTTTTATTAGCATTTACAACAGTACGTCTCTCAGTTTATCCTAGAATACAGTCTGTCTGTAATGGCAGTGGGAAGGAAGCACGCAACTCATTGCCAGCCTGAAAAAAAATCACCACAAAACACTTTGATTAACTTAGAGTTCAAAAACAATGAAGAACTTGTAACTTAGAAAGGAAACAGAGCTTCTGTAACTTTGGGGTGCAGAAACCAGAAGTGCTGTTGATGCCCTACTCGTCCAGGCCAAACTTCCCCCACCTTTCCGTTATGTGGGTCTGGTGGGTAAATCTGGGAGGAAGGGTGAAGGAGAACAACCTCATTCGCTGTGCTGAGGAACGTCCTCAGTAATGATTATAAGCAATAACAGCGTGGTCTTGAGATTTAGCTGTTGTTATTAAGACCACTTATTGAAGATAATTAATTTTAAAACCTGTTATCTAACTGGATCTAAAGCTGAAGCTCATCAGAATTTCCTTACGTGTGCAATAAACATACGATGTTCAAATCCCAAACCCTATCACACACTAGGAAGGAGCAAGAGTGGGAGTTCTCATATGAACCCTCGTCCGCCGTAATCTGCCATGAGCCAACGAGGCAAGGATGGACAAATTATTACCTCCCATCTGTGTCTTGCTTTAGTCAGAGCTGTGTTACAAAGAGACGTTACTAAAACTTCATATTATCTGTGTGATGAAGTCCCCTGCTTGAGGCCTCTGCAAACACCAGTACCTAGGTGCCTAGCTTTGAACCAGGGCGGCACCTTTGAGTCCAAGATAAAAACGTAGGAATGCACGAATGAAATCTGATGACCCGAGCTGTCAATAGGGACGATGACTGAGGTATCATATAGAAAGATTCACTGACCTTGGGGACCAGAGCAATAGAAACGGAATGAAATGTAATAGTACAGAATACAAGGTTATGACCTCACAGGCCAGTTACAAGAATTTTTGCTACAAATTAGGAGTGCTTAAGTTGGAAATGGTCAAGGAAAACTGAAGAAGAATCTGAGCAGAAGATGGGATGAATACGAGCCATCAGCGTGGGGGAGCCTTCAAGGAAGGTAAATATGATCACAGAACGTTATTGTGTGAGCTGTCCCCAGCAGCTGCTGCTGTTCTGCACTGCCACCACTACTGACTTCATTTCGTGCACAGCTGTGATTGCATACGTCGAGAGCAGGGGTTCTGATAAGAACATAATGCAGTGAGGGACTGGTACAGCGAGAAAACTGTTTCATACGTGAAAAGGCTCAATGTACATTTAGAGGGGAGAAGGTTGTTCTGCATAAATATACTAAGGGAATAAGTGCTGTGGAAGGAGGGAAGAAAGGTGGAGGGAGAAAGAGGTGGAGTGCTGTTTCAGATAGAGGACAGTGCTGGCACAAGAACAAAGTATATGTATTCTGATTATTAGTAAGACACAGGCTGGAAATTTTAAAAAGGTCCGTAATTCTTAATGCAGGAAAATCTGCAGCTGCCTGTCTGTAGAAATAGCTGGTTTAAAATAATTATGCTTGTTTGAAGACATATGCCAGCATCCTTACAAACAGGCCTTTTTTGACTTGGTAACCTCACAGGATAAGGTAAGTCAAATGGCTCTTTTTTTTTTTTACTCTCCGTATTTGCCATATGCGTAGGCATTTGGCTGAATCGCCAGCAGAATGGCTCAGTTTGACAGGGTGAAGGAAGAACAAGGGGGTTTTTTGGTCTTTAAAAGATGAGCAGCAGCTCCAATCTTTTAGCCATGACAGGAAGATACAGTAGAGTTGAGCTCAGCTTTGAGCTCCAGTGCAAGCTTTTCATGTGGCTATGGGTGGCATTTCTCATCTGCCTTGACTCCCTATCTATGACGAGGAGTTAGATGCAAACACCTCAGACAGAGAGCAGGGAGTAGTGCTGGCAGCTACGCTGGCGTAAAATCCCTTGAGGGCTTTCCAGGAGCTTGTATTTCTGTAGTTACATTTCACTTATGTATCTGTGAGCACAAACAACTGCATTCTTCTGTCTCTTCTCCTCCTGTTCTCCCACTTTTACTTCCAATAGGACAGGAGAAGCAATTCAGCAATGGGAAAATTGTGCTGGATACAATTCTGGTTCAGTATTGTCAATGCAATTGTTAGTAGTTTGTGACAACAAAATGCTTCTGCCTGGTGTTCTAAGAGAAATTAATTAAAAGGATTCTAATTTTCTTCTCCTTAAATTAAGCCAGACTTCATTAGTTGGACTAGGCATACAGAGCTTGTTTGAAAACTGCTCTTATCTTTGGCTACGAAGTGAACAGGGCCAGGGAGAGAACACATGACTTGTTCTGTTATTTAAAAGAAAGTCACATTTATGGTATTGCTGAACCACAGTGTCAGCTATACCTCAGCGTGAAATTCCAAACTGGTAGACTGTGGAAGCAAACACACTGAAGAGTGAAGCTCAACATATTGTGTGTTTCAAACTTCCAGCCAGGTATCTGCAATTAGCACTCAAAGTCAGCTTATCATCACAGGAGTCAGACCAGGGTTTTGATGAAATAGTAAACCAGTCAGAAAAACAAACGGACTATGCTGACTTCAACAGGAGAGGGGATTTGGGGGATAAGGGGAATAGGAAGAAGGAGGGCTAAGTACTCCTTCATTTATTTTGCTAAGGTTGAAAATTGATCTGCATTTGGTACCAGATTATGTGCCTGGCTGGAGTCCAAGTCACTTCAACTCAGAGATCAGGCCTTAATTAGGCAAGTGTTTCAGTGAAAGCAAAGAGAGTGCTAATGGGAAGTGTGAAGGTTGCACCTAAGAAGTGAGGAAGAGAGTGATGGCTGCAGCTGGGAGAGAGGGATCATCACCTGTGTGCTTGCTGTTGACATGAGCCTTCATATCTGCCTCTTCCATGGTGACAAAGTCGCACGCTGTGCAGCAAATCGAGAACATCCACTGCTCTTTATCCACATGGAGGGACATATGACTGACAAACTGGACATTCATCTCTGTCTCAAACCCACACACGTGACAGCTGCAGGCAGAAGAAAATTCAAGAGTAAGAAACATGAAGAAACAAAACACAAACAGAAGCATATTGCCTTTCCCTGAATTTCCAAGAAAAAACTCACTGCACAGATTTTTTTTCTCTTCCTCACTGTTGAATGTTCACAGAAAATTCTTTTGTCTGCTGAACTGCCTTTGAACTGATGGCCATGCCAACGTGATTAAGGGCAGGCACAATGCAACAATCCTGTACATGCTATAATGACGCTAAATAATCATAAAGTTAATTAAAAACTACAGATTCCAGATGCTGCGCATCACCTAGCTGATTCCTTTGGGCAATAAGAGGCACCGCAGCTTTGCCAAGATGTTTAGTGCAGCTGATACACTGACAAACGCAGACCTTGCTGCACACTCCAGGAGTTATTTTCAAGCCCTGGAATGGTTCCCATGCCAAACTGGGATCTTGTGCAAAACTGCCTGGCAGTTTCAGTGTAAGCAAGTAAAAATGGGTTCAAACATTCCTTATGCTTGACTGGAAAACAGCAGCCATCAGCTACACAAATAATTAGCAGGGATACAGATTTCACAGCCAGGGCATAAACAGAGTGATATTGAGAAGCAATGGAAAGGACCTGTTAATTTAACTTCCTTTGCAGAGTCCTCCTCTTGCTTTGATTAGGCCATTATCATTTAAAACAAGCCAAAAACATTTAAGAAGGTGTATACTCTAGGACACTATTTTGCTTTCCCAGGGGGATGGACTAGATAATCTAATCCACCAGGTCTCATTTATTTCTTACTTCTATGATTTTGTAATTAAATCTGCTCTTGGCACTTTGACAAAAAGTAAGAGGGATTTGGTAATCTGCTTGGCCACTAGTTGCAGAGCCCACAACAGTGCATACAACAAGGAGAAACCCCAAATATCCATTTTATCTGGGAAATTATTTTTAATTTTTCAGGAAAATTCTCCTACAGTTTTTCCTTCTTTCACCACGTTGGTCACTGAATGTATATACCTCTAGCATGGGGAGGAAATGTGTATATAGAGCTAATAATTTGTATTATGCTTTACTATTCCATTTCATAGATTTGTCTGAAAACAATGGAGCTGTCAGAGGCAACTGGAAGTACAGTGCTTTAGATTTGCCATGAATCTGTGTACAAGATGGGATGTTTCCAAACACAAAATTTAAATGAGCACTGCATAAAAAAAAGAGGCTTCTAAGAGCCCATCTGCCTCACAAAGCCATTTAACACCCCCCAAAAAATACCCAGAGCCTTTCCCAACAGTGAGCCAAGTCAAACAGCGTGAGGCAGCCAGCTGGCTTCTGCTGCTTGGCCTAAGTTGGATACGGGAGGACAAATACTGTCACCACAGTTCCACCCTGCAACGCGTCCTTAGCGGGCAGGTAAGACATTCCCATTCCAGCACCTGGCGCACAGCCCTGGGTGGGTCCTCACCTGTAGTAATAAGGGTGCTTCTTTCCATCGCTGCCTTCAGAAGTGACAGCGCTGACAATGTCCTCAGTGTCGGTACTCACCAGCTTCACAGAATGGACGGTCAGGTGCTGGTTCAGGTTAGCACGGCACTTAGCAGCGTAGGGGCACAAGTGGCATTTGTATTTTCTCTCTTCTGAAAAAGAAACAGAAAACCTTAAATGTATACTTCGTCTTGAAGTAAGCTATTTTTAAAGCTGCCACCAACCAAGTGTGCATTCCTTTGGGTTTTTCCAAGCAGCTTTCAGAAGGAGGTACTTCGGGAGCTCTACATTTTGAAAAGTTATAGGAGTTCACAGCAGTAACAAAGAAAAAAGTCATTTGGAGGTAGTTTAGGGCTAGTATTTTTAACTTGGTTTACTGTTTGTAGTCAGATAATATAAAACTTTATAAACTGGAAAACTGGGGCAACTGTTGCTCCCAGTGCCGCAGCAAAGCTAGTGCAGAAACACGTCAATAATCTACAACTACTTCCTTTACCTAGCATCTTTTATTTGATTTTTGGGTCCCCTTATTCATGAGGCTGCCCATGTGATCACTTACAGAGAGTTTATGGTTGATGATTTTGTATTAAAATCTGAGGGTGGGGAGGAAAGGGGATGCTGTATCATTAGGCCAGTGTCAAACACACACTAAACAAAAAAACCCACCCAAACAAAGAACAACTGAAGAATTTAAACAAATTCATCATGAGTTTCTAATGCTTCACAACTTTTAAAATAAAAATTATTTTAATTTAAACATTTCTAAAGCCTGGCAGCATGGGTTTTTTTGTATGTGACAGGCTTTATTTTGCAGAGTTGATTAAAATAACCAAACATTACATCAGCTTTTACAACCTCTCCCTTTGAGGAGCAGCTGCTCTGAATTTGAACTACAGCTCTACAAGTGTTAGGGGAAAGGAGTTCAATAGAGCAGCTTAGGACTAAGAAAACCCCACAAAGCCACAGAACAGAGCATCTGAACCTTTTCAGCACGGCTCTGCTAGGGGGTACAACATATCCTGGCATTATACCAACAATATTTTTCAGCACTGCATCAGAAACTCTTGCTTTCAAGCCTTATTTTATGCAGTACACCTCAGCAGGCTGACATGGTGCATCTTCCATACAAAAACTCTGTTAATCTCCATTGATTTGAAGCTGATTCACCTCAAGAAAGTTGGTATGGGGTAGAACAGGCTCTGCTCCTCTCAGAAGAACTGGCTGATAAGAGCAAAGGTGAACAACAGATATTAAATCCTTTCTGTTTCACCAGATCTGAAACACCAAGGCCAAACCTTCTGTTGTTTAGTAACATTTAAAAAAGCTCCTCAGGTGAATGGAAGAAAGGCCAAAGGCTGGACCTTCTCTTCAGAACCCCATTAACAGGCTGGGGTAGCCAGTTGGTATCTACAGGCTGGTCTACTGGAACCTTGGACAAACTTGAACTTAATACATTGTGTAAAGATAAATGACAAGTAGTCTGTAAAGAAATAAAATGTTAGTTAACTACCTGAACGCTGCTCTGCTTGGCTCTGCTCTACGTGCAAGCAGCTGAGCATGGCTCATGCACTCTTCCGCTTACCTTCTTCCCCCTCCACTTAAACCATGAAGAACACACACATTCCCTCAGTCTGCAACAACCAGCCGCTGGGCGTTGGCTTACCTGTGTGCAGCGAGAGATGTCGGGACAGAGTCTGCTGTCGCCCAAACACTTTTCCACACACGTCGCAAGGAAAGAGCTGGTCATTAAATTTCCAAGATGGCAATCCATTTCCCACCTCCAGCCCCAGCTTTTCTGTTTCTATGCCAAAAACCACATAAACAGAAAGTCATATTTTAGGAACTCTGAAGACTTTCAGATTTCATCCAGTAGAGTTCTGTAGGCATCACGTAAAATGCAACACCTGGGCTGCATGCTGTGTGATCTGGCACATGAGTCCATGCAAAAAGGAAACTCCCAATGAAGGAAAGGAAATGAGTCTTTCATACAGCATTTTTCATACATACTCTAAAGCAAAACACTTCATCAAAGTGTTCGAGACGTAGACATAGTCAGAGTTAAACCAGATTATGTAAAGAGAGAAAGTCAAGAGCGAGCAGAGCAAACAACGCATTGACCTCTAATTCTGTTTTTGGGGAGAGACCAACAACTTTTTCAGTCACCCACTCTCACCTGGTGCACAAAAGCGGCCTGGCCTGCGATGGTGGCTTATTTTAGTCTGGATTATTTCTCATGGCTGAAGGAAGATTTCCAAACCTCTTATTTTCTACTGACACAGGAACTTTTGCTACATGAGCCGTCTTACACGGAAGGAGAACAGAAGATCGCTCAGACACAAGTTAACTCCAGAGGACGCAGCATGCGGGTGAGCGGGTGGCATCCAGGGTAAGTTCCACCCAGCACCTGCTGTCCTCGGGCATCAGAATCCCCAGCAGCTCAGAGGGCCATCCACTGAAAAACTGAGACCCAGAGTGAGCCACTATCTTTAAACAGGTGTTTTAAATTGTTTCAAGAGCACAGAGAGTCTGCTATACAAAAAATAAACTCCACACAGCATGAAACACAGACATGAAGGCACTCTGTAAGGAAGTAGAGAGAAAAGGACTGGGAATGAGGAAGAGAAAAAAAGGTACATGTTTAAAAGCACACCCAGTTTTGATCCGGACAGAAGGGAGCACAGAGACGACGGAGACCGGGGGTAGCAGCGATACGTCTTCACTCAGTATGAGAAGCAGCATCAGCACGCCTCGTGCAGTGTTCTCTGCAAGCACCCCACTGCCTGAGGAGAAGGGACTGCTCAAGTTAAGAGGTGCACAAAGCTGCAAGGGCACTCAATGGCTTTCTAAATGTAACAGCCAATGGCAGAGGGGGTTGGTTTAAGACTTGCTTTTGCTAAAAAACTTTCTGTTTCCACCAGAATGAAAGATGCAACATGCAGAACACCCTTCTTAGCCCAGCACCGCCTATGGGTTTGCTGCCCAGGACAGCTCCACCAGCGCATGTGTGCATGCCGTGATGGAGCAACACCATCTGGCTAGGATTTTCAGGTAACCAGGAGGAGAGGAGCTGAGGACAAGAGTACAAAAACACCTTACTGAATGTAAGTTACTATCGTGGAGGTTGGCACAAACCAGCAAATCTTCATCCAATGAAGCCCTGAGGAATGAACACCCTCCTTGTACAGGCAACACCTCCCTGACAGCCACCTACCACTGCAAATTCCACCGCCCTGTCTGAAAGGCTCCTTCACACATGGGTGTCCGGACAGCTCCCTTGTGGTTTAGGCAAATAGTTGTCAAATACTGTCACAATTTAAGCAATAATAAAAACAATGCCTCATTTGGGGCAGAGATTCCACATAGCAATCTCAGCAAATGTAGGGGTGGTCATACCCGCCAGCCCCTTTTCAGCTGCTGTTACTTTCTCCTCTGACCCTGCATATATCCAATATCCAGCACACCAGAGGAGTTATGAGGCACCTCTGAGTGCTGCCAACACCAACACCACATTTTTCTTCAAGAATGTCCAAGCAGAGAACAAGTTCTGCCTACTCAAAGCAGCCATTTTGTGAAATTAAAAAGGAAGACATCCCCCCCTTCCCCTAAAGGCCACAAGTGACCCATAACCTCCAAGAACTTCAATAAATAATGATGCTTTTCATTACTATCCTTGAGTCCAAAACAATAGAAAAACTTGACTCTATACTAATGCTACAGATATTTTAGCAGAGCTTTTTGAGTACATAATCAAAACAGCGCTTCAAAAGAGGAACGTGGTAATTACAAGAGAAGGTCACAAGGGTATAGGTTGCTTCAATATGGTCACAACAAAAATGAATTAATTGCGACACATACCAAACAAGCAGGCTCAATGAAGTAAGTCTCTTTACAATTCACTTCAGCATTAGTCATCAGCCCTCTTTTATCTCTTAAAAAGAAATAATATAATATCCTCTTCCCTAAGGTGGATTTATGGCTATCAGTTCTGGGAAGCTCATGGGAAGCTGGAAAAATATCAGCTGATTACCTTGAGCTGGTGAAAGCTAGTCCCTTGCAAAGCAGCTGCATATTTTTCACTGATGCAAAAGAGGATACTGTAGGTGTTCTGAAAGTACGCCTTTGGAAGATTTATTCCTGGAGTCCTAACTGCAGTGCTTCTTTCTTCTCTTTCTACTGAATCTCCTCTCTCTAGCAAAGTGCTTTTTCTATTCAGCAAGCTGCTTAGTTCGTTCGTGGCACACCAGAGTTGGTTTCTGGTCCAACAGGAGCCTCAGCACTTTGTGGAAGATCTCACAGCTCGAAGGGAAACCACCTCCTACCACTCACCTTACCCTCTGGGCAGTTTTATCTGCAGCCTGGAAACTGGAGCTGTGTCCATACAGCAGTCCAGAAACCTCCCCAGAACACACCCAGCAACTGACCTCGCCAGTGACCTGAAGAATCAGGTGAGTCAACATCCACATTCAATCCTTGGGTTCTGTCTCTAATTAATGCCGGGGAATGGTGTTTTCTGCGAAGTGAGTACAAGTTCAGTGACTCTGAGCCCATAGGGTTGGTTTGTGCACAGCATTCTCTGTGCATCCCAGAGCACTCCACCTAGACAGTCAGCACTGTTATCCTTTAAGAATACCTGACACAGAGGAGCATTCAGTGGCCGATAAGGAGATAGACTGAGACCAACTAACATTAAATAATACATCATCATTGTGAGAGACATCCCACAGAAATCCATCTTTCACCATGACACCCCTGTACTAAAATGAAGGGGAGAAAAGAGAAAGACTTGATGTAGATTTCTGCTTTAAACAAATACTCCACAGCAAATTCCAAAACTGCTATGTTAGAAAAGCATATATGACAAAATAATATTGAAATTACTAAGTAATAGACTGCACTTCTGTATGGGTTTTGGAGTTTAAAACAAAATATGATTTGTAAAAATGGAAGGGCTCCAAGTTCCCCAGTACATCATTAAAAAGTAATAGAAAGACTTGGTATATTACAGGCTAGTAATAAAATTATTTTGAAATAGTTCTGCATAGAAATCTCAAGAGCTAAAAATTTTATGTAAAGGTACAACTTAATTCTCAATGACATTTAGTGAAATACATCTTTATGGATGCCCTTTCTGCCCTTCTGCATCACCTGGTATCATTTCCCTCCTAACCCCAAGTCAGCCTGATAATGAGTAGCTGTGTAAAGCTGATCGTCCAAGATGGGGTTAGCGACTGCCAGGACCAGCACCATCTGGATCTCCCCTGAGGTGAGGATAAGACAGCCATCAACTGTGGAAATATTATTCTATCCCTCCTCTTGCCCCTCTAAATAGGTTAATTTATGTCAAACAAAGCCCAGCGCCTTAAGAGAGCTGCTGTTCACCCCCTTCCCAAGATCTCTGTTGTAATTCTGAACATGGATGTATTTTCAGTTTTCACATTTAGTGAGTATTTTTTTTCTTATCTTCAAACTGGTAATATCAATATGGAGAGGGCATTAACCACCCCTTCTGAAAAGCCTTCAGCCTGACTTTTGTGGAGAAGTGCTGAGCAAGGATAGCGTATCAGGTTGAAGCTGTAACTAGAGAAGAGAACACAGCGTGACCCGAATACATACCTAAAACTGTCTAGAGTCCCTGCCTCAGCCCTGGGACTGCGAGTAGCTGTCACACACAAAAAGTTCCCCAGGGACTGGCTTTGGACTCTGATATGTGGTACTTGATTACTTATTTTCTTTTGCTTAAGCTTACATATTTTTCAATTACTGCTTCCCAGTGTTTTATACTGCATTATATTTTAATCTGTTGTTCAATGCCATGCCTAGCTTTATATCTTTATACTAGTAACTGAAAGAATGACACCACTATTGAACTGGAAAAGATAAAGCTAAGAAAACAAACAAAAAGTATCATTAAGTGCCATTCAAAGAAGCTAAATTCATATTTATAAGCTTTGCTGGTTTACTGTCTGCTCTCACATCCTGTAATTCACTTAAACAGCTGCTTCTCTGTTCCATCTTCACACCTCCATAGACCTCAGAAGCAACAAAATCCACAGGGGCAGATTCTTACCGTTGCATGGAAGCCTACAGACATAAATTCAATGGATTGTCCTTTGCAGTATGTATTCCTTAAAGAGGTGGAAGTGAGAGGTGCTGATGAGTCTTAACAAGGAAGGTCAACATTTATTATCTCCCCCTTCTTCTGGAAGTGTATATCATATTTATACTTTGGGTTATTCAGACAGTTTGACACCACACAGATGGTCAAGAAGAAATCACGTAAGGAATTCTGAAAACGAACAGAAATCCTCTGAAGGGAGCAAAGAGAGAGCGGTGGTTAGACTATTTTCAATCAGTCCTGCTTGCCAGCCAAATGCGATGACAAAAAGTCAGATGTCTAGAGGATCTGGTGACAGAATAGCCACCAGGGCAGGGCTGAGAGCTAAGGGGCAGAGATGGCTGGGCTCAGAACAGGACATGGACTGGGACAGGGCAGACGACAGCACATTCAAAAGAAGAGGAAAGGAAGTGTGCAATACCTCCCTCCCTGTACTCCAGGGGATAAAACTTGATGCAAAGAATACGAGACGCAGAAGGAAGCTCCCATGGGAGAAAGCATCTAAAAAGCTCCTCCAAACCAGAAAACGAATAAACTGACTATGAAACAGTGCTGGCCAAGGTAACCAGGTTTGCGTGAGCTCGTGGCAAGAGGACGAACACTACCAGCAGTGCAGATGTCCCACTGCAAGGCACCTCACTTTGCTCTTAGATGACTTAAACACTTACTTAGATGACTTAAACACT